TGAAGCTCGGCCAAGTAATACATTTGCATACTGGAGTCTGCTGTTTTTATGTTCTGGGCAATCAGCTTTGAACTTGATGGCAGTAAGCCAGTCCTCAGAGGTTCCGCCAGTTACCTGATGCTAGACACTGTACCTGCATAACCTGCTGTGACTCCAGCTCATTAGAAATACCCACACTTTCTTCACTTTTGCTCCCGAATGGGTAGACCAAGTGATTACAGCTGCTATGTAACTCCCAGGTCATACTCATTTCTCAGCTGGTAAATTCATTTGTGTCCTTGACTTGCTGATCAACTGTGTTTTTAAACAAAGGCCATGTTTGCTTATGCATACAGTGTTGCCTATGATTAAAATGCTCAGGCTTTCCCTTTGAGTATTTTATTTTACAACCTATTATTATTCTGCACCCTGAGATCCAATATGTTTGTTATGAGAAAACAAATGCAAAGGCTGCAGCAGCTAAGGGATTAATGCATTACATTAAATTACCATAGAGGAATGCAGTGTGGTACAGCGCCGTATGGGAGAGCAGAGCTAAAAGGTCTAATATAATGTAAATTGAATAATAATCTACACTATGCATACACTGAAAAATAATTATAATTGCAGTCTAGACGTCTCAATTCTGTTATTTATTCAATTAATTTTTACAGTTTCATTTCTTAATTTAGTTTTATCAAAAGGTTGTAAAAAGCTTGAAACATCTACTAACCTATTGGTGTGTCTCTTAACAGCAAGACAAACATTCAGGAAATGATATGCACCCTTTTTAATCCCGCTTAGCATTTGATTCACAAAGTGAGACTAATCTAACAGAAATAGCCCAACAGTTTCCTGCAAATTGCAATCACTTCAGCCTGGATTCACACTTAAGCGTGAGCCTGATTTTGAAACAATTTTGCATGTTTTTCTTTGCTTTTTTCAACATTTTTAGGATTGAATGTTTGTATTTTAGCCAATGGTAAGCTAAATACAAGAAGGAGTTAATTGTTGGGCACAAAATTGTGCCAAAAAACACGTTATGTGCATTTGTATGGCCCTTCTATTTCATTCTATTGAAGCCAAAACATGTCCCAAAGAAGTTGTGACATCACTCATATGTGAACGAGCACAATAGAATAACACAGAAGTCTAGTGTCAAGTATTGAAGTGCTTCTGGAATAGTGTTTCAAATCATTCAGGTGTCATTAGGGGATAAGGCATAGTATACAGGATGTGAAAATTGGACAAAAACAGAGTTTTCATAGCGTTTGTCCAATAATCTGATCACTAGTACATAGCCTTCAAGAGCTGATCATAACAGTTCATGGGAAATGATCCAAAAGGCCAAGCACGAACATAGCATGAAAATTTTTTTTTTGTTTGATACCAGAGCGAATGATTTTAATTTAATCAGTACAGTATTCATCCAAAAAAAAAATGGAGTGACCAAAACCGCACTTGGTCATAAATGAAAGAATATATTACAATACAATACATTACTTTACTTCTGATGTTGTATTGTGTTGTATCAGAATTTATGTAACTTAATAACCTCTTCATTTTCAAGACTAGCATGCAAAATAAAACCTGACAATTATTCGTCAAATATTCTCATTGTGTGTGAGGCTTTAGCTTTTGATTACACCCACACTCTGCACAGCTTAGCCCTTAGCTGTTAATATCAATGGAAATATGCAGGCTTCCATTGCAGTAGCCTGGCTGTCATGCTGATCCCATGACTTCAGTTCTTTTGGAATCACGGGGGGGGGGGGGGGGGGGGGTTATTTACTAAAACTGGAGAGTGCAAAATCTGGTACAGCTCTGTATAGAAAGGATTCAGCTTCCAGGTTTTATTGTCAAAGATTAATTGAACAAGCTGAAGTTAGAAACAGATTGGCTACCATGCACACCTGCACCAGATTCTGAGTGCACCAGTTTTAAGAAAACTCCCCCATTGACTCTGAACTCTGACTCATAAGTCAGACTGAAATAAAAGCTCCTGATCTTCATAGTATCCAAGCAAAATGACATTGCTTGATCTGCATACTTGCTGTGGATCTGAATCTCAAAGATGATTTACTTGCTATTTCCAACATGTGTAGGTCTGAAATTAGAGGTGTATACTTTTTTTTTTCTTTTCAGTTTTTTGGGCTGCTAGCTGGCTTGTTTTCTGATATTGTATTGGCTTTGCAATTATAATGACTAAAAAGTCTAAAAAGAGGGACATTTTCACATTTTTAAAGTGATCCCTGTGACTGGCTAATCACAGGGGTTGATTTACTAAAACTGGAGCACTCAAAATCTGGTGCAGCTGTGCATGGTAGCCAATCAGATTCTAACTTCAGCTTGTTCAATTAAGTGTTGACAAAGAAACCTTGAAGCCAGGGGCGGACTGACAACTCATGGGGCCCCTGGGCAATAGGGGATCATGGGGCCCCTGTGTCCTTGCCCAAACTCAAAAAAGCCTGTGAAAAAGGTACCAGGGGCATCTCATGGAGCCCCCTACTGACCCCGGGCCCTTGGGCAGTGCCTGAGTTTCCAAATGGTCAGTCCGCCCCTGCTTGAAGCCGATTGGTTCTATGCAGAGCTGCACCAGATTTTGCACTCTCCAATTTTAGTTAATCAACCCCACAATTATCATATGATTGGGAACCCCACACCCTGCCGTTCTTGAACAGATCCTATTTACGATCCTGGGCTGGTAGCAACATCCCAGTCCTACAGTTGAGCCTCTCTCTGCAAATGAAAAAAATATGTTAATGGCCTCCCAGCAAAAAGACCTTGTCGAAAAGCATTATTTTACTATAATGTGCCAAGGAAGTAAAAACTGTTGTCCCAAAGAAACCAACTCTTGTTGATTATTCAGCAACTGTATCCTTAGAGGTTCTGTGGTTGTAAAAATGTGGTTTTGTGTATGCTTTTTGAGGCTTAACAGTAAAGTGACAGGTAGAATAGGTAGATTAGAAATTCATAGATTCCCTGGTACTCTCTATTAGGAATGCAATGTCCTACTTAATTATAAAGGAGGAGAGACATTCCAAGTAACAAGAAGAAACCGCATCCCTTCTGTATCCTTGAAAGACATTGCAGCGTTTCATATTATGCTATACATGCCTCTGCTTTGCTGAACATGTTTCTCAGTTACTCAGCAATTATTCCAGGCCTCAACTGAACTATTTCAGAGTAACAGCACGGTTTACTGCATTTATTGAGAATCTGAAACCAGGAATTCTGTCTGCAGCAAAAAAGCAACAACTTACAAGAGTGATCTGAAAAAAAAAAACAATAGACTTATAAAACACAACAGATATTGTTGCTGCAAACAAGTCTGTATATGTAATACAAAAAAGTTATCTAGAAATTAAACTAACAAGGAGAAAACCGAGAACTGTGTCGCTCATTCATCAGTCTCTGAGAAGCAATTCTTTACTCAAGCAACACACAGAAATCAGAGCTTCATCTTCCAGTCTCTGGATAGTCAGGACTATTGCACTGAGAATCAATTAAGATAAAAATAAAAGCAGAAACTGCATTAGGGCTCATGTACACGGGGTGTTTGGAAAGCTCTTCTGAACAATGGAAACTGACTGCTGGAAAACATAGGTTAAAAAAGTCAGTTTAGCCACGTTTGCATACCACGTTTACATTTAGAAGCGTTTTTAAAAGATAACCTCAGGAGACCTTCCCAAATGCCCAGAATGCACTGAAATATAGTAAACAATTAACTATTTCAGACATTTTGAGAGGAATAGGGAGAGCAGAAGCAGAGAGAGCAGTATTTGTTGAGATTACCTATCTTTTCTGGTTGTATTCACTATGGATCCCATCAGGAGCATAATGCAGCACGTTCTACCATTTTTTTCCTTCACACGAAACCTGGAACTGCGTTGGTGTGCTAGGTCCATTTGAATACATGGAAAATGCTTTGCATGCATTTCTGATGATGAAAAAAGGCTCTGGGCAGCATCTGGATATGGAACAGTTAAAAAAACACTTCTAAACGCAAATGCTTATAACACAATTAACCGCGTTTACAACCTTTTTGTAACACCGGTAAAATCTACTCCTGAACGCACGTTTGGTGCGTTAAAAAAAACGACTGTAAACGACTATGTATACATGGAAACCTAGGAAAACATTAGGGAGAGTTCAACGGCTGCTAAAATAAAAACCGCTGAACAGCTCCTGAACGTCAGTTTAGCTACTGCAGTGTACATGAGCCCTTATTGTGAAAAAAGCAACACATTGCACAGTTTTCTTGTAAATCCCAATATAGGATTGCCAATGTGTTTGCAGTCTTCAAGAAAATATCAAATCTGAAATTTAATCTGCTTATATTTTACTTACCTGGTTCTTCCCTCCTATCAACAAGTTAATGAATTTTTAAATAAAATATTTCTGTTGTCATTACATATTTTATTTTATGCTTAGTGGTATCATTACTGTGTCTCTATGCTGCTCTCTGCAATGTAAGAATTTTCAGTACTGGAAAGGAGATTGCAAGGAGGTAACATGACAATCAACACCTGGCCCACTTAAAGAATCATTGAGAAAATGCAAAGTGTACACTGAATGGTGCCTATGCTGAGCAAGCAACCACCTGTGTTCAGTAGACAGCAGGGCAGCAAGGGACCCAGAAGCTAGTGGAGATCACTGTAGTAGCAGTGCCTACTGATTTCCAGCTTCCACAAGAGTCCCCACAGGTATGATATATGCATTGTTACATTCGTCCAAACTGAATCAATGTAACTATGTAAAATATCCATAACTGATATTCATCCTTAACCACTAGCCTACAGGGCAATTATACCCCCTTCCTGCCCAGGCCAATTTCCAGCTTTCAGAGCTGGTGCACTTTGACTGACAATTGCGTGGTCATGCAACACTGTACCCATATGAAATTTTTTATAATTTCTTTGTGACAGATAGTGCTTTATTTTGGTGGTATTTACCTCTGGGTTTTTTATTTTTTCTTAAACAAACCAAAAACCACTGAAAATTTTGAAAAAAAAATTTTGTTATAAAATTTTGTAAATAAGTGATTTTTTTCCCTCACTGATGTGTGCTAATGAGGCTGCAGTGATGGGCACTGATAGGCTGCACTGATGAGGTGGCACTGGTAGGTGGCACTGATGGGCATTGACAGGCATCACTGATGGGCACTGAAAGGCAGCACTCATATATGGCACTGATAGGCAGCACTGATAGGTGGCACTGACTGGCATTGATAGGTGGCACTGACTGGCACTAATGGGTGACACTTAAAGGCAGCTCAGATGGGCACTGATATGTGGCATTGATGTGCACTGATGGACACTGACAGGTGGCACTGCTGGGGCTACACAGATCATCAGGGCACACTGATCATCAGTGCCCTGATGACACACACACGTTTTTTCCCACGTTTTGCGTTTTTTTTTAAAGCTTTTTTTGTTATAGGGGAAATTTTTTTTGTTGCTGGGCAAAATAAAAGTGCAAAATGCGGCAAAAACACATTACATGGGTTTCAACAGCGTGTCTATTGAACTCTATTGTAGCAAAAACACTGCTTTTTGCAATTAAAAAAACACAGCAGCTAAAAAAAAGCATAGATGTGAACATGTCCCATAGGAAACCATGTTAAAAGGACTGTAGTGTGTTTCTGCAAAAAAAGCACTAAAAACGCATTGGTGTGAACAAGGCCTTAGGCCAGGCTCACTCTGTTCACAAACTGTTCACAAAACATTGCAGTCAGCCATGACACCTCCTCTTAAAAAACATCTAAAAAGGTAAGAAATCTAAAAGATAAAAAAAATAGGCATGTTGTCTGAATGAGAAAACAAAAGCATATACAGGTGTACCTCGGTTTACGAACACCTTGGTTAAGGTAATTTTCGGTTTACGAATGAAAATCCATTGAAATCAATGCCTCGGTTTACAAATTATTTTTTCAATACAAACAGATTAATTGGTTTTCAATGCATTTACAATTTTTTTTTTAATCATGTCCCTGTACAGTAGGCCTTTAACCAGTTGCCGACCGCAGATAGCCGAATGACGGCTGCACTGCGGCCGGCCAGTTCTGGGAGGGCGTCATATGACGTCCTCCCAGAACGCGCTCTCCTGCACGCCCCCGGCAATCTCCATGATCGCTGTGTCCTACAGACACAGCTGATCACGTGATGTGGTAAATGACCAATCACAGCGGCCTTTTTTACCACGTGACCAACCAGTGACATGCTGATCACAGGGAAATGCAATTGCCGGTTCTCGGCTGCACTTTCCTCTCGCTGTCAGAGTGTGAGGAAATTACTGCCGAGAACCGGCAGTTGTCAGAGCAGGGATCAGCACCGATCATCAGGGCACTGATGATCAGTGCTCTGATGATTGGTGCCCAGCAGTGCCACTCACCAGCTCTGCCCACCTGTGCCCAGCAGTGCTGCCCACCAGTGCCCAGCAGTGCCAACCACTTGTGCCCAGCAGTGCCACCCACCAGTGCTTATCAGTGCCACCCACCTGGGCCACACACCTGCACCCAGTAGTGCCACCCACCTGTGCCCAGCAGTGCCACCCACCTGTCACCATCAGTGCTACACACCTGTGCCCACCAGTGTCACCCACCAGTGCCCATCAGTGCAGTCCAGCAGTGCCACCAGTCAGTGCCCAGCAGTTGTGCCAGTCAGTGCCCAGCAGTTGCGCCAGTTAATGCCCAGCAGTGACGCCAGCCAGTGCCCAGCAGTTGCGCCAGTTAATGCCCAGCAGTGATGCCAGCCAGTGCCCAGCAGTGACGCCAGTCAGTGCTGACTATCAGTACCCATCATCAGTGCTGCCTATCAGTGCCACCTATCAGTGTCACCTCATTAGTGCTGCCTATCAGGGCCGCCTATCAGTGCCCTTCAGTGCTGCCTATCAGTGCCCATCAGTGCTGCCTATCAGTGCCCATCAGTGCCTGCCCATCAACACACATCAGTGAAGGAGAAAAAAATTACCTGTTTGCAAAATTTCATAATAGAAACAAAGAAACTTTTTTTTTTCAAATTATTTGCACTTTTTTTGTTTATAGCGCAAAAAGTAAAACACCCAGCGATGATTAAATACCACCAAAAGAAAGCTCTATTTATGAGGAAAAAAATGATAAAAATTTCATATGGGTACAATCTTGCATGACCGCGCAATTGTCATTTAAAGTGCGACAGCGCTGAAAGCTGAAAATTGGCCTGGTTAGGAAGGGGCTATAAGTGCCTGGTAGGCAAGTGGTTAAAGTGCACTTTATAAAGAGTTTTGAACAGATAAGACGTTTTTTTTTTACTTTCTTCTGACCTCCAGAACGATTTAATGGGGTTTCAATGCATTTATGAATTAATTTTTAATCATGTCCCTGTACAGTATTTATGCCTTTAAAGTGCACTTTATAAAGGGTTTTGGACAGATAAAATACCGCCTGGCAGTACTAGGGTCGTTGGTTCGAATCCCAGCCACGGCACTCCTGCCTGGAGTTTGCATGTTCTCCCTGTGCCTGCGTGGGTTTCCTCCGGGTTCTCCAGTTTCCTACCACACTCCAAAGATATGCTGGTAGGTTGGATCCTGTCTAAACTGGCCCTAGTATGTGTATGTATGAATGTAGGTTAGGGACCTTAGATTGTATGCCCTTTGAGGGTTAGGGACTGATATGACTGTACAATATATATGTAAAGCGCTGCTTAAATTGACGGCGCTATTCAAGTACCTGAAATAAATAAATAAAAATAAATAAACTGACTTACAAACAGTATGGCAGGGGATTACAGGGGCACGCTTTCTATGAAGAATTACAAATCATATTTTAAACAAAAAAGAATCAAATTAGGATTTGCTTTGTTTCCAATTACAAATAAAAATACAAAAATATCCATACTTTTCACAGCTATCATTGTCATACCAAATACATAAATTAATCTAAGAACTTTACTTTCTCTCAAAACATCCAGTCTACAATGTTTTCAACAGCTGAATGTTAATTCTCCTGAGCACGGAGAAGAAAAATTCATATGCAGAATGGCTGCATGGATGACTGAATCCATATTAAGTTACCACTTGTTTTTTGAAATATAACCAACGTTATGTAAATGTGAAGTGCTTATTAGACTGAAAATGGCTTGTCATAAACATGGTATCGTTGGAAAAAATCCATTACTATCAATCTCTCAAAAACAGAAAAAAAAAGTACTAAATTATTTGTTTCTATTATATGCAAAACCTATAGTAGAGGGTTGAAATAAAATGGATATTAACCATAATTACAAGTTTAGGTTTGCACCCAGTTCAGGGCAGACATTTGTGCTACATTTCTTTCATGATATATGCCGACTCAGGATTTGCCTTAAGACTTTTTTTTTTTTTAAATGAGCAGTAGGTCAATAAGCTATTTTCATAAATAGAACAACCCATTTAAATGTAAGGGCATTCGACCTTGCTACTTTTTGCAAGAGAAATAAACAGGAAGCTTTGAAGCTGTGCAATTAAGCCAGGGTGCACCAGAGCAAAGCTTTGGTACTCTGTACGACTCTCAAGCATATGATATAATGAACTAGGATGCTCTTTCCTGTTGTCCCTTTAAAGAGGATACAAGACATGCTTCATAATATAGAAAGGCACTTTCAACATCTCAGTGATTACAAACAGTTGATACATTTTTCTAGATCATTTCTTCCGCAGACCACAAAAAATGATTGGGAGTGATGGACATCCAATTATTTTATCTGCGATTTTCTAAAAGGAAGAAAGTCAGAGATGTTCATGGTATACAATTAAGGTTCCAATATTCACCAATGTTAAATTATACCTAAAACCAAAATCTTTAGGTTTGTACAGAGTAAGGAAGGGTTAAAGCATAAAAAGGAGCGGCGGCCATTTTGGTACCTGTTTTATACATTACTCCACGTGGATCATTTTCTGTGCATGTATATCAACATTTAATCAATAAATACTACACTATATTAGTTTCTCTGGCTCCTGTGGTTGAGCTATCTTCCACAGCAGTGGCAGACTGACCATTTGGAAACTCGGGCACTGCCCAAGGGCCTGGGGTCAGTGAAGGGCCCCATGAGATGCCCCTGGTACCTTTTTCATAGGCTTTGTTGAGTTTGGGCAAGGACACAGGGGCCCCATGAGTTGTCAGTCCGCCCCTGTTCCCCAGATTAAGGATATTCGCACCACCGGTAGTTAGAGGATGGTGGATGATTAAATCCTATGCTGCTTCTCTGTTCCTGCACCCAGATGTGACAGATTGTAACCAATGCTTGTATACATCAAAGTTCTGGTGAGTGCACACCCCTTAGAAGTGGTGGATTACCTTCAAAGATATACGCACATCTGCACTTTGGTCACATGGATATATCATGTTTTAATCTGAGGACTATTTCTGCTCATGTATTTTCCTGTTGAAATTTGGATAGATATGGACATTTATTTACTCACTTTTCGCACATATTGCACTGAATAGCACTTTGATTATTTTGCACAGATATTTTTATGAATTGCTAATAAATATATATATATATATATATATATATATATATGTGTATATATAATATTTATTTATTTATAAATATTATAGCGCTGCACTTTATATTTTTTATGTTTTAATTGGGATTGTTACCTATGCCCTGTAGTGCTAGCAGCTACCTTAACCATACGCTTCTTTGTACATGCGCTCGCTTTTTTACTTTTTGATACCTATAAAATATTTTGCTGCCTGCTTCCATCTGAAAGATTTCTCCTTCTTTCATGCCCCATAGGAACCACTGGAAGGGAGAGGAAATCTCTCCAAAGTGACAAATGTCACCACAATAAGTGTCCACTCTGTAAACCTTCCTTTCTGTTCCAGTTCTAGTGGGGTCTCAACATTTTGGACATACTTTTAATCCCAATGTCAATCATTATTAGGATAATCACTAGCACTTTCTAATGTTACTCAAAATTAATAATAATAAAATAATAATAAAAAAAAAAAGTTTTGGTTTTAGATGAACTTTAAATATAAACTTTTATACACAACCCTCACCCCACTACCAACCTGCATTCTAAAGTCTCGTAGACACGATGAGAATATTGGACAAATGATCATTCTTTTTTTTTTTTTTGCATGTTAGTCTCATATCGAAAATAAATAGGTTACTAAAGTTACAAAAATTCTCATATAACAGATTATAATTTAGGAAATGATGTAATGTGTGGTAATGTATTCTTTAGTTTTGGAGCATTCGTGGACTTGGTCATGTGATTTTTTTTATGGACAAATACTGTACTGATTAAACAAAAATCTTTCTATCTGGTGTCATACGGGAAACATTTTTGTGCTTGTCCCTTCAGATCATGTTGCATAAACTGTAGTGATTGGCTCTCGAAAGCTGCGTACTAAATCAGATTATCGAACTATCACTCCAAAAGTGGTATTTTTCATTCAATTTTCTCATTGTGTGTACAAAGCAGTACTCCAAACAGAACTTCAACATGAATGCCATCCTTTTTGTAACTGCAACCACTGGTGGCTTACATGATGTTCTGCAAGGCACATTGGATTGGTGTAGTTCAACAAAGCCTGTAGCATTATATACCTTCGTATGAACAATAAACATTTGATGCAAAGAAGAATATAGTCACTTCATGCACCAAAAACTGCTTGATCACAGGGAAAACCCATGAACAGGAACCACTGGAAGGCATAAAACACAACACCTGTTATACAGCAAAACACAGGCAGGCCGTATGGCACAAAATGTAGGAAACACACATCATACATACTGTGGAAAATATGGTCATAAATGTACTAGACACAAGGGAGAGTAGGGACACGAATACTACTAAAAACTAGAAAAATATTGGGCAAAAAAAAAAAACTAAGAGATAGGAAACAATGTATACCAGTCACAAGACTGTGAACCTGGGTGGTCTTCTGTCAGCAAATGGAAGCAAACTTTAATGGCAGGGACATGTGGAGGAAAATGGTGGCATTCTGCTATACACATCCAAATGATTTTGTTGATAATAATCTCTGATATTCATCTTACGTTCGTGCTGTTTTGTGAAGCCTTACATCATAGTAAATTGTGTTTTCTAAGGAGCAAAGATAAAATATTGAACGTGTTAAATATCACAGGGAGTGTCTAAAAGTGTGCTAAAAAAAAGTGGGAAATTTGAGTTGTTGCTCATGTTGAATAATCAGATTTCTTCAAATTCTCATTTTTCTAGAGAATAAAAGATGAACCCTGATTGGTCACCATGGGCAGTAACTGGCCTTTTCACAATAGTGTTTTACAAATAGGCCCCCCCCCCCCCCCGCACAGGATTAAAAAAATAAAAAACACAAAA